TCCTCGCCAAAGCTGAGACGCAGAGTAGTTGCAGGACCCTACGATTTTGACTGTGGCGGCATGCACACTCTACCGCATAGCAGGAACCATAGGGGCGGTAGGAGGAGCCGGACCCTGTCCAGGTGAAGGGGATCTTTGCTACTCCCATATGAGCCCTGAAAGCAAAATGCCCCAACAAGTTACAAACCTTTCGAAAGCTGAGGTCATGTAGAATCGACATAGACCGCTTACTTTTCTCTAGGTCCTCTGTGCCGCGAGATATGCGGTATTTTATGTACCCTAATTTCAGGCGTACAAGGCGCGGGGATTTTTTTCAAAATTGACTGGCCCAAATACGCTAAAGAACTTTGCAACCAAAGGACCCTATGCCGTGCTGTATATTGCTTAAGAAAATCGTACGGCATAGAAATTGCCTTCCAAATACTTTGGACGGCTGAGGGGTTTGATTGAAAAGTCGAAAAAGGTGCGCCTTGTATGCGTGAAATTAGGGTACTTCATATATCAACTGATTTTGTGTCTTCACTTTCTGCTCTCCAAATGAAGCCACGAGAAAGTCGACGGTCTACGTTTGTTAATAAAGACTTGCTCTGTAACATAGACAGATAATCAGCAGTGATTGGGTCTTCGTTTGACAGAATCTGCTGTTGAAAATGGACATGATTTCAGATAAAAAGCAGTGTATCTTTCGGTAGAGGGGGGCTAGAAAGAAGCAGATGGTCCACGTCGAATTCGCCTTTTCTGAGCTTTCGAAATGTATATAGACTGCTGGGCGAAAAAAACTTGCCAGTTTTCAAAAATGGGGTGGAGAAATTTACTATTAGCTTGCTCCACCCAGCTCCCCCAATGTATTGGCTTTTATCGGTAACCGGAGTAAGTACTTTTTAGAGCCGGGAAGCAAAACAGCCCTAGAGTGCTTTATACCAATCGAAAGCTGAGATCATGGAGAATCGAAGTAGACCGTCTCTTTTTTCATAGCTTCTCTATGAAGCGAGAGTCGAGTAATTTTATACGCCTACTCACCAGCTAATTTTGTCTAATTATTTTGTGCTTCATTTTTTGAAAGAAAGGACAAAGATAGAATAAAGAGACGGTCTATGTTTACTGGCAAGGTCTTGCTCTGTGATAATGTTAGACAATCAGGCACCTTCATTCATTTTTCACGCAGGAATTTTTTGACAAAAACACACATGTTTTTAGCTAAAATGTTATGTATCTCTAGATAGAGGGAGCTAGAGAAAAAAGCACGGCCTATGTCAAATCCATTTTTCGTGGGCTTTCCAATGGTTTATAGGTTATTGGGTGAAAAAACTTGTGGCTTTTAAAAAATGATATTTAATATTAATTTGCTCCACCGCTTTCTGTGGGTCGCCGGAGCAAGACTTTTTTGAACTGGGAAACCTTTGCGCATCAACACTTTACATATCATTCGATAGCTAAGAACACTAAAAAGCGACATGGACCGTTTCTTTTTTCCTAGCTTTTCTATGAAGCGAGATACGAGCAGTTTCATCTAGCTACAATATCAGCCAGATCTGGGTAATTATCTTTTCAAACCAAGAAGGTCTTTTTCGAACTTTCATATATGATTCGAAAGCTTGAGAAACGAGTAATCTAATTGCTTTTTCATTCATTATTATGCTCTCTAGTGAAAGGAGATATGGTACGATTATTGTCAGCAAACATGCATCCATACTAACTAGTCCAAATTTTCTACTCTTGCTCAACTCTTTCTTGAGACAATGTTTATTCATGATGCAAAGTTGATTATTCAAAGAATCAGACATCCTTTTTATTTCTGATTATGTTTCGTTAGCAACGCCACTTTGAGTACGCAGAAAGTCTCGAGCATGCGTTTTTTTTTCAACAACGCTGTTGATTCGATAATCTGCAGTCTGATGTCTGAGAAGAAGAGCAGCTTTCCTTTCTAAAACAAGTGTCATTGTAACGTCTGTTTGATTCTGCCGTTATGCCTTGATTCTAGTCTCAACCTCAGGTGAAAGGGGTCAGCCAGATGCCGGCCCTAAAGTGAAGGGGTCAGAGAAATTTCTCCACCTATCGCATATACTCAGATAATCGCCGGGGGCAGGCGGCCATGCGATTCATGGGCGGGCGGGCACCGGAAAAATAGTTTGTTGATTTCTTGCGGTCCGCTTGCAGATATTTGGAAGAATTTTAGAGAAATTTTAGACGAATGCTTGGAGAACAATCGCGGTTCCCTTATAGTTTAGCTGCGGCGCAGTCGCCGCATCCTCGCGGTCTTTCCGCGAGAATATGCAAAATTTTTGAGGGCCGCACAGTCCTTTATGGAGAACCGCGCGGACCCCAGGTACTCTCCGCTGAGAGAAAGTACCTTAAACTTGAGTAATTAAACCAACGGTGACACCTTTGCCACACAGAGTCTTACCTGTGCTCGACGTATGCCCGAAACTGCGCAAAAAGAGTCCGAGCGCTTGCTGAAAGTTTGGCCAGCGCTTGCTGAAAGAAATTATTTGCCGAGCGCTTGCAGAAAATGCTGTAGTGCTGCCCGCTGGCAGAATATGCGACCGTAAGGAAGTGCCGCCCGCTGAAGGCTTAGTCACGCCCCAAAATCCTGCTGACCGCTTGCAAAGCGCGAGTTTGCGGACCGCCTGCCCCCGCCGATTATCTGAGCACCTTGTACGCACACTGCCTTTAAATCAGCGTGAAACGCTGATTTCAAATCTGTATTCATTATCTGCCAAGCGATTCTTTAAAAGGAGTTATAAGCCCCGGTTCCTCGTTTACACGTCAAGTTTCGTCAAGTGCGGTTCGCATTTGTAAACCAACTCGTCTGGTGTAGTGGATAAGCGCGGAGCCTATGGAGCAGATGGTCGAGGGTTCGAATCGTTCTCGTGTTCAACATTTCTCAAGTCACGCATTTGTTTACTTTGCGCTATAAGGCGTACCCGCGCACATGTACACACTCCAAATTATATTCTACTAGATGGCTTACACGGCTCCGCCCGGCCCTGTCATTATTTTATTTGTAATCAGCATGCTCGATTACCCCCCTGTACCAACTCCCAGCCCCGTAGCTCAAATTTTGCAAAAAATCGATACGATATCGATCGATGACGAAAAGTAGCCTATGACACCCGCCGGGGCCCGAAGTGTATGTGTGCCAAGTTTGGTCCGGATCGGTTCAGAAATGGAATTTTCTATTCGGAACATAAGTACACACATACAGACAGACAGACATACAGACAGACAAACAGACATTCAGCTTTATATATAAGATTGTTGAAATGTTGGGTTTTTTGCGGTTTTTTTGCCAAAGCTTTGGCCTGCTGTGAGTTAATGGAATCAACTCTTATGTATTTGGGCGACAATGTGCTTCGAAAATCCGCTTCAATACTGTTGCCCTCCATATTAGGCAGCTGTGAGTTTAGTGACTGCACTCAATTATTATTTTTCCAAATGTGCTCATTGCGAAAATTTACTTTGTTTCGAGCACTTCGTTAATCCTATCATATTTGCGCTCAAATATCCGATTTCCAAGTGTCAGTAAGACTCTGTAATGATTCAAAATGTAAAATTTTCAGCAGAAATGTATTAAGTTGGCCCGAAGGTTCTTTCGCACCATTTTCCAAAATTCATAGCTCTCGGTTCTTTCAGCCGATTTGCATGTTTTCATTTTCATCTGAAAGAGCAACTCATTCTCTTCGCAGCGGTACCTTAGCGTCTTTCTCTCGAGCATGCACTGCGTGGATAGGAGCGGTAGAAGAAATTTAGTCAAACTTTGAATTTTCGTGTAGGGTCATAAAAAATCTGAAACTTGCAGTAAAAATCGGAGCAGTGTATTGTAGGTTATATTACGCGCTCTTTTTGGCTGTGCAGAACTTGCGCTGATTGAGCGTCTCTATAAAAAGTTATGATTTTCGAGCAAGCAAAACAAAGGGCGAATTTGATCTATTTTGGCATTCTTTGAAAATTCTCTACCGCTCCTATCTACGCAGTGTATGCCCAAGAGAAAGCCGCTAAGGTACCGTTAAGAGAATGAATTGCTCTTTTAAACAAAAAATGAAAACATGCAAATCGGCCGAAAGAACCGGGAGTTATGAAGTTTTGAAAATGGTGCGAAAGAACTTTTGGGCCAACCTAATATATTTGTGCAAACTCACAGCACATTGTCATCCGAATACATAAAAATTGATTCTTTTGACCGTTCACACAAGGGTGAAACCTTGTAAAAAAGTCGCAAAAATTTCAACTTTTCAACAGTAGATCATAATTTGGAGTCTGTACATGTGCACGATCTTATAGCGCAAAGCAAACATGTCCTTAATTTGCAAAAATGTAAAAAGGAAAAGGATTCTCTCGACTATCTGCTCCATAGGCTCCGCACTTAATCACTACACCAGACGGTGCGAATCGTGCTTAACACATTGACGACAATGCAAATTTTTGATTGTCTGCCTTTTGGGACCAGACCTTTTACGGACCAGTCAGCTTTTTTTAGATAAGACCACGCATACCGCCGTCTACAGTACACCTACAGTTGCTGTTTAAGGTCGATAAAGAAGATAGAGGTCGTTTCTAGATTTACAACAAAAGAAAACTTTTGGAATAAGTTTGTACCAAGATAGTCGTCATTTGAGCGAAGTTTAAGTCTTGGCACACCATGTGTGTCAAGCGGTACTGGTAGTTACTGCTTGACACACATCGTGTGTCAAGCGGTCGTCAGTGTGTTAATGAAACCTGACATGTTAACAAGGACCGGGGCTCATAATTGCTTCTAAGGAACCGCTTGGCAGATAATGAATATAGATTTGTCAGCGTTTTACGCTGATTCAGATGTTTTATAGCTTACGTCAATTTGCACTTTCAAGTCTGGGTCCGCCCCTGGTTACCAATAATCGGTCTCGTCCACTGGCCGCACCGCAAACTCCTCGCGCTGCTGTTGCGTAATTTATGCAGAAGGGAGCACTAATGGATTCATATTGTAAATACAGTCTACGCATAAACGGCTATTTATTTTCTAGGCCAATGTTCAACAAACGCTCTTATCATGCGGAGAATGTGTGCTTTGTCATGTGGAACTTGCGTACCAGGAGCAGAATACGGGGGTAAATTGAAACTATTGATGATCAAACTTCTGTATATGATGAAGCTATTTAGGTATGGTGCAAGGAATGGGTTTAGGTTACGGAGGTTATGAAATAGCACCACTATCTTCACCCCTTTTCGGTAGAAGCATCTATGAAACAGGTCTTTGAATATTCAAGAGTGTTACTTGGTGAAATGTCGCATCATTTCTTATATAGCATTTTAGGAATCTTGCGTTCACCCATGAGAACAACAATCTACCCGAAAAGTGATAAAAGGAACAAGCTTGTTCCAGCCGACGTGTATATGCTTGGAAAGAGTTGAAAGTGATTGCGCAGTTTTCTATATTCAGAACCGATTGTTTATGCATTTCTTTCATAAAGTCCGCCTTCACCTGATCTCTTAGCGCAGTAACATATAAGCTTTCAGCTTCAAGTTTCATCACGTTCATATTATAATAAGTCGTTCTACAAGTTGCGAAAAATAAAGACTTGCTTATTATGTGTTTTTTACCGAATATTATACGGTTTCTCGCACGTGATTGAATGTGCACATCTGCACATATGAATATGGCTGAACAGTAGCGGACCGAGGCGTAGGGTAGAGCTCAACTGGAGAGTGGGTCACAAAAATTTTGAAAGTGGTTGACATGAAAAATGTTATGACATGTGATCTGCTCTCACCTTCAAATAATTGAGTAGTAATTGGGAACTTCCAATAGTCATTTTTTGTGAAAAATTGTTGCGTTGCGGCAGCTCAACAAGCTATTTATCAATATAGGATACAGGGTCCTAAACGGTACACAAAGAATTTAGATCTTTTTGGAGAGCTGACATCTTTTTCGCCTGTTCGTTGTTCACATTCACCAGTTAGGGACTTTTTGGAAAAAATGCTTATTACACCTTCCATTCACATAAGCTTTTCAGATTTTTTCATGCTTTGTTCCCACCAGCCTCTGTTCGCTCGCTTACGAGATTTGGTATCTACCACATAAATACGCATGTGTATGTTTTTCCAAAAGGCATCGGTCAAGCGACGTCGCGCATGCGGCAGTCAGCGGCGGCGCGGTTTGAACTCCACTACGCGCCTGTTGAGGCGCGTATTAACATGTTGAGATAAGCAGAAAGCATAAACTACCGTTTTTTCTGGGGCGGAGCCCCGGAAAAAATGGTAGTTTGTGGACTCCGCAGAAACGATAACCCCTTTCCTTTTTTCATTCAAAACGATTTTCAGCCTGTCATTTGCCCATCTCGTGCCGGGCCCTGATAATAATGTTTATAATTATAATATTATAACTTGAAACTCCGTTTCGTTCCTATCCTTAGAACGGAGTATTTGGAGTAGTTCTTGGATTGACCGGAAACTTCACTCACAGTGGCTTTCGGACACACTGTTCACGAAAAGCTTAGTTATTATATCTACACTAGCTGGCTTACCCGGCTCCGCCGTATTCGGACCAAACTTGGCACACATACACTTCGGGCCCCGGCGGGTGTCACAGTCCACTTTTCGTTATCGATCGATGTCGATTTTACCGATTTTTATCGATTTTTTTGCAGAGTTCACCTACAGGGCTAGGAGTTGGCACAGGGGGGAAGTGAGCATGGGGATTCCGAATACAATATTGGTTTTCAAGATCGTCCATTACTTTTATCGATTTTATCGATTTTTTGAAAATTTGAGCTAGGGGGCTGGAATTTGGCACAGGGGTGTAATCGAGCATGCTGATCACCCCCCTTGGGGATGATCAGCATGCTCGATTACCCCCCCCCCGTGCCAATTCCCAGCTCCCTAGCTCAAACTTTGCAAAAAAATCGATAAAATCGATAAAAGTAATCGATAATCCCGAAAACCAATATTGTATTCGGAATCCCCATGCTCGATTGCCCCCCCCCTGTGCCAACTCCCAGCCCCGTAGGTGAACTCAGCAAAAAAATCGATAAAAATCGATAAAATCGATATCGATCGATGACGAAAAGTAGCCTATGACACCCGCCCGGCCCCGAAGGGTATGTGTGCCAAGTTTGGTCCGAATCGGTTCAGAAATGGAATTTTCTATTCGGAACATACGTACATACATACATACATACATACATACATACAGACAAACAGACATTCAGCTTTATATATAAGATTAAAGAGACTTAAAATAAAGCTATAGTGAGAGAGAAATAACCAAACTACGAAAGATCGCAAATTCGTCCGCACTTTCCGCAGATTTTTCAGAGAAATTGCCGGCATACTTTCGCACGTTGGAGACCTTGTAAAGCGTCGACGCATGCTTTACACAGGCCCCTATCTGCACTATTCGCAAGGTAAAGTTACAAACTGATGAATTTTGCTCCGAGTTTCAAGACCGTGTATTCTGGCGCATTCCAGTGATAAGCGCACGTGCAATATGGCTAAATGATATGGCGGGAATTTTGTATCGAGTAGATTGTCATCACATCGTTCTCCTACCGAACCTCTGTGCTGTGCCATCAGTGGTAAATGAACGCATGTCGGTCCTTCGTAACTCAGTATGCGTAGCAACTCAAGCGAGCTACTTCGCGACATTTAAGATTAGAAGATATCAGTTCTGGGATCACGCTCTGTTTTTCAGTCTCTTTTGGTTTATTCTATTAGATAGTAATGCACGTTTCCACAGTTTGTACAAGATATCTACAAGAGATCTTATTGGCGAGTCACCATAACGTGTCGTTGCTTGCCATGCGCAGTGTGTAGAATCGCAAATCAAGTCACAAACGATTTGCGCATGATTATGCAATCAGCGCATCAGGCTCCCGCCAGAGTGCCGAAGTTATGCCAGCGCTACGCCAGCATTTCGATCGATACACGTGTATTTCGTTGGGGCGGGGCTGCTGACGTCCCCAACGAAATGCACGTGTATCGATCGAAATGCTGGCGTAGCGCTGGCATAACTTCGGCACTCTGGCGGGAGCCTCAAATAACCACCTCAAGCATTTGAATACATTCGTGCAAAGTGAGTTTCTACCGTACTCGTTCAGTATCATACAAAGTGCCGCCAGAAGCAAATTAACGTAAGTGTTATCAGCATAATGAATGGTCCATCTAAACAAAAATCTAAAGCAATTCGTGAAGACCGACTGCCTACCGTACATCCACCGCATGTCAACAGTGGTGCCCGTATGCATCAGAGAGGCGCCTTGCCGGGCTGATTCGAATGGTGCTCGGATTCTAGAATCGTTCACTCTGAACCGAGATATGGTAATGCACGTGAATTTGAGTTCGGCGGCCGACGGCGGCCACAATTTTTTTCACAAATTACAACCGGTATTGTATTTCGCTATGGGATTGAGCGACATCTATCAAATTCGATCTGAAGAAACTTTAAGAGAGAGAATGCATACTACAGTCTGCCCCAATCCCAATCAAGCCAAAATTGGCATGGCGGGAGTCCGCCTCGCTAAGGTTTAGCGGTCACGCCCACGGCCTGCTTGTCTGCTCCCTTTTCGATCTCCTCGCCTTCTTAAACAACGCGCATATGCAGCGCAAACGCTTAGCGCTGCGAGCGCGAAAATTTACGCCGACAGTACGGCCTGATCCCGATTGGAGCGGGTTGTATCCTGTGTGTAGTTGAGCAAAGCAAGTTCAAGTCCAGAAAGAATGCAGGATCACTGCAGTATGCAACTTACTGTAATTCCAAATCAGATTTTCCTTAGTATTGTTGTGTTCGAATTTTTAGAGCTTGTCGTGATAAAGACACGACCCATGCTTAACTCTTTGTTGCACTTTGTTTATATTTTGTGCACGTTATTCATTTCATGCACAAAGAGTCTGCCACATGGCTGACTCTTTGTGCTCATCGGCCAGCCTCTTCTGGCCGATTCCCCATCACTCTTCACTGTATCGTGTGCCGGAACAAGCCGGCTGTATTTGTGCTCCAATAAACATTCTTACTCCCCAAGTGTTGGCTAAGTCATCGAAGAGTCCCCCAAAAACCCACTGAACCACCACAATTTTGGTGCATCGGCCGGGAAACAAAAAACCCGCCGAATCTTTTCTAACAGGTCAAATCCTGTACATCTTGTCAAAGCAAGATGGAATTGGTGTTGCTGAAAAATCCGCTCACCATTAGCGCCAAGACGCTAAAAACACTTATAAACACATTCAAGGACTACACAAAAAAACCAGTGTATCCCCCCGATGACGAAAAAGCCTACGACGAAAGTCAGGCAGCCGCTGATCTAATAAACGAAGCAATATACCAAGTAACTGTTGCAATAGATGAGCTAAAAAAGCTCGTCGCTCAAATCAAAAAAGAATATGAGAGGATTCAAGATACGGGCGAAAGAGAAGACTTCTCTGACGCTTTAGAGAAGCTTGAAGATGACACAAACTTCAATGAAATTTTGGGAGCAGGAACTGAAATAATTTTTATGCTCAGAGCAAGGCTTACCGAAGTCATTAGCACCCGCAATAGACTGGGACGCAAACTAGGACTTACTGTACCTACGCAACCAAATCCAACAGCAGTCACAAATGGAAATTTTATTCAAAATAACGATAATGAACAGCAGGAAATCAGCGAAGATAACGGATGGATAACAGAAAACAGCAATGATAGCACCGATGTAAATATACAAACAAACCGGGATGCAAATATACAAACTAACCGGAATGTTAACACCGAGGCAAATCAAGTACAAACAGTACAAATACAAACCTGTAACAATGTGAAAACGCCCGCACTGGAAGTGCCAAAGTTCTACGGGATGGAGGAGGATTTTCCAGAATTTTGGGCAATCTACGACACGTTAGTGCACAGGAACACCACACTTAGCACAGTGGAAAAAATGTTGTTTTTAAAAGACAGTTTGAGAGGAAAGTCAGACAATGCGATTAAAGGCATACAGCTAATACCACAAAATTATGGATGGATGGTTGATGCATTGAAAAAGAAATACGGCAATAAGCCAATAAACAGGGCAAGAATAGTCCACAGACTTACCTTACTTACTCCAGCGACCAAAACAGCGGAAAGTTGCGCTCACGTCTTCGACCGAATCCAGATGCTGGTGAACCGGGTGTCAGCAGGTCAAGACATACGCAAAACGAACGACGCCATGTGGACAGAGATGATCCTAGAAAAATTTCCGTACGATATAGTCAAAAACGTGCTTATCGCGATCAAAAGCAAAGAAGAAGTATCAGTCGAGGAAATAATGGAAAAAATTGAAAAAGAAATCTCAGCAAAAACCTATGTGCAGTCACGGATGAAAGTACATCAAAAAAGAGTAGAACCAACGGCAGAAACAAAAAGCCCGCAAATAACAATAACTGGTCCGCTTTGCGCATTTTGTGAGAAAGGCGGTCACTTTGCAACAAATTGCCGAACTATTACGGATATTCAATCGAGACGAAATATAGCGATTGAAAAACAACTATGCTGGAAATGTTTCTCCAATAAACATTTTAGTTCGGAGTGTCAGCGTCCGAACTGTGCCTCTTGCGGCAGACAACACCACATTGGTTTATGCTTTGCAAGTAGACAACAGAGCTCAAGTGGGATATCTAGATCACAACCACCTGCTCGAAAACAGAATTCTGCTCCTTTCAAGAAACCAGATGAGCGCCCACAGGTGAACTGGAAAAATAACTCCCCGTATAATCTACGCCAAAGAAATAAAACGAATTCGCGACCCAATCTAGCCAACCAAGCAAATTTCGGCATAGAAAAAATAGGTGCTGATGTCCAAAAAAGAGAGCAAATCGTCCTAATGACTGCTGAAGGAATGATTTGGAATCACAACACCGAAAACTTCGAAAAGGTGCTCTTCTTTTTCGACACCGGAGCGCAAAAAACAGTAATTCGTGAGGAACTGGCGCAGAAATTAGGCTTACCTAAGCTGAAGACAGAAACATGCGTAATGTCTGGCCTCGGCGGTCATACCGAAATGTTCGAAAGCAACGTTGTTTCAATAAAAGTCAGTTCTGCTTACGGAAAAGACATGGAAACTATTATACAAACGAAACCGTTCATTACGAAGGCATTCCCCTCAGTCAAGCTAAACAACGTAGACAAGGAATTCCTACAGAAGAAAGAGGTCTGCATCGCGAATACAAAACTAAGAGGAGAAATGCAAAATCCGGACATCTTAGTGGGACTAGATCTCTACTACAATTTCATTCTGGAAACCCCGGAAAGTGCAACTACACCATCGGGACTTCGAATCGCAAGAACGATTTTCGGACCTACAGTATACGGACGTGGGTCAGTTGATGGAAAAAACGAAACCACAAACGTTATCTATGGAATGACAGCCATAATGGAAGAAGAAAATGAACTACTAAGCAAACTGTTTGAGCTGGAAGGGCTCGGCATATCAAAAAACGAATATGCGCGACACGATGAAGTTTTTGACTACTTCGAAAATTACTCAAAGGATATCATTTTCCAAAATGGCTACATTACCGCTCCATTTCCACTCAAAAGCAATATAATTGACTTAACGGACAATTATGCGGTTGCTTACAGAAGACTAGCTGCTCTGCAAAATCAGCTATGTAATAACACCAAGCAAAAAGAGTGGTACTGCAAAATTCTTCGAAAATACGAGGAACAGAATATCATTGAGAAAGTTACCTACGATATCACAAATGCCTCGAGAGTGTATTATATGCCCCACTCAGGAGTATGGCGAGAACACAAAGCAAAACCGTTACGAATTGTATTTGATGCCTCTTCCAAACAAAAAAGATGCCTGTCTCTGAATGACGTCATTCACAAAGGAGAGTCATTTGTTACCAAAATACACGATATTTTGGTGGCCAGCCGGAAAAGCAAAATTATTCTACTTTGTGACATTGAGGCCGCATTTACACAAATTAGATTAACGGAAACACACAAAGATTTATGTCGATTTCTGTGGCTGAGAAACCCAGATCTACCACTTACAAAAAGTAACATAGTGGAATTTAGATTCAATCGCCTTCCATTCGGCGTAACTGCCTCACCAAGTATCCTCAATATGGCGCTGGTTACCTACCTCAATTCCAAAACCTCGCCAATTGCACAAGAAATAATCAAAAATTTGTATGTAGATAACATACTTTTACTTGCAAATAACCCAGCGGAAGCACTACAAAAATACTCCCAAGGAAAGGCACTTTTTGCCGAAATAGGCATGAATTTGAGAGAATTCATTTCCAATTCGGAATCAGTAAACAAAAAAATACCCGAAATTGATAGAACACCAGGGGGAAACATCAAGTTCCTGGGAGTGCCATATAATACCTACACAGATTCATTTAGTGTAAAAATAACCTTTCCTATGAAAGAAAACCTCACAAAAAGAGACATAGTTAGCCAACTAAACTCAATATATGACCCGATTGGTATAGCTGCACCACTAATCGTAAAGCTTAAGTCACTTATGAGGGAAATCTATGAAGAAGGAACAGATTGGAATCAAATTCTACCAATGGAACTAACTAAGAAATGGAATACAGCGTGCAATGAAATCGATAACGTCGAAGTCGCGGTGGCACGCTACCTCGGATCTCGTTATGACGCGTCTGCCAGGGATGAGCGTGACCTTTGCGATCTCTGGGTCTTCGCGGACGCCAGTGTCTCGGCATTAGCGGCATGCAGCTATTTCAAAAAATATGCGGGCCAAGTAACGGCACTAGTCAGCGGCAAAACACGGCTGACACCCAAGAAAACAGTACAAACTATACCAAGATTAGAGATATTAGCCACACTGATGGCTATCCGTCTCGCAAAGAATATACGTGAATCAACCACGGAAGCGATACGACAAATCCACATAGTTAGTGATAGTGAGATTGCGCTTTCATGGTTAAAATCAAACCGTAAACTTCCAGTATTTGTACGGAACCAAAGAGAACGCATACTTACACTCAAACAAGATCTGGAATCTAGCAATGTCGCGGTCAAATTTCACCATGTCGCCACTAATTACAACCCGGCAGACGCTGGTACTCGCGGCGTCACTGCGAGACAGATCCACGAGATCGATTGGATTGAGGGACCGCAGTGGCTTACCAAACCAGGCCCACATAAACAGTTGAAAGATATATCAGAAATCCCAGAATTTGAAGAAGAAGAAGAAGAAGAGCCTTTGAAAATACAAATGCCACAGGTTAGCGGCACCACAATCGATACAGAAAGTAACGATAATCTAATTGATATAACGCGATTCTCACAATGGACTAAACTACTAAGAACAGCAGCGAGAGTTGACAAAATTATCGCGCTATGGGTAAGGAAAACCCAGGAAAAGCGAGGAATTCAAATACAGTTGCGACGATTAGCTCAGTTTGACAACGATACAGAGATAACATCTGAGGATTTGAAACTTGGTGAGCGAATGTTAATCGCAGATCAACACAAAAACGAAGTGTTACAGAAGTTACAAAAGAAATATCCAAACAAAAAGGTTATCAGGGACAGTGACGGTATTATTCGTAATGAATCACGGCTGCAAAATGCCCAATTACCGTACGATACTAAATCTCCCATATATATAAACCCAAAATCGGACCTTGCAAGACTAATACTGCGAGATATACATGAGAATAACGCACATTGTGGAAAGGAACATACATTATCGATAGCCCGACAGCGTTTTTGGATCCCGAAACCATCAGGAGCATTCAAAAAGTTCTTAAAAGGTTGTGTAAACTGCAAAAAGTGGCAGGGTTTACCATTTGGCGCCCCAAATATGCCTCCACTCCCACAAGACAGAGTAATTATAACAAAACCGTTCGACAAAGTGGGTTGTGACTTTATGGGACCAATAACGATAAAAACCCAAGAAAAAGTTTACGTCTGCTTATATACGTGTCTTACTATACGAGCAATACATCTTGAAGTGGTTGAAAACATGTCAACCGGAGCCTTTTTAGACAGTTTTATCAGATTTATATCTCGTAGAGGGGTACCCAGCACTATACGTACAGATTGCGGCACTAATTTCCGACTTGGTCAACAAATACTGGACATTATGTATGAAAAAGACCCGAGTACAGATGCTTCGGTGATGAATTACAGCGCAAACTGTGGTATAAAGTGGATTTTCAATCCACCTGGAGCCCCATGGATGGGTGGTGCTTGGGAGCGTTTAATAGGTACAGTAAAGATGGCCTTCCGAAAGTCAATAGGTAGACGCAGACTTGATCTAACCGAGTTATGCACAGCAATGGCTCGAATCGAAGCAATAATAAACACAAGACCGCTCACTAAGTTAGATTTCACCGACATTTCTGAGATCCCAATACGTCCAGTAGATTTCCTACAGGCTAACATCAAATTTGATGTTAGGGAACCACAAGTAGAAGGCGAGTCTAGCGATCTAGACTTTGACCCCGAGTTAATTCAAACAGCTCAGCAAGCTAAGCAAGCCTTGTTAGCTTCCGAAGAAATCGCTGACAAATTTTGGGAACGATGGAATACAGAATATCTAACTGCACTGCGAGAAATACAGCGAATTTCGCTCAAACAACCTCGCCACGTGCCCTTACGAAACCCAATTATCGGCGAAATAGTGCTAATGAAACAAGAAAATCTCCCCAGAGGTAATTGGTCGTACGGAAAAGTAATCGAGTTAGTGAAAAGTCTAGATGGACAAATAAGATCAGCAAAAGTGCTACTACCAAATAAACATGTTTGTCATAGGCCACTAAATACGATATATCCATTGGAAATACAAAGTGAGGTAGAAAGCTCGACAATCAATAACGACGAATTGTCAGGCGTAGATGATAATGGAGCGAATAACAACGGCGATCCGCCAGACATAGGTGTCGACGCTGCTAATCCGCCAACAGGTCACCAAGACCCCCCGCAGAGTCGGCCGCCGAGACAAGCTACGATAAATGCGCGAACAATTATACGTAATTTCGAACGAAGCTTGGAGGAATCGGATGAAGCTGACGAAGGTTATAGCAGAGCATCAACTCCAATACGCCAGATGTTGTTTTCAGTTATCACCGCATTATGTCTCATCAATCCAGTTGCATCTGATAGATTGATTTGCGAAAAAGGCAATATTAAGATTAACAATCCAAACACAACGTTCGAACTATGTATGGGGAGTCTTTGTAGATCCTTTCCGAAGATGGCTATCGCAGAACGGGAGTGGTCATTACCTCCAACGGCATTAAATAAGACCATGTTTGTATCCATGAGGTACTTTCTGGAGGACCAAGAAATCATGGAACAGGCATATTGCGTACAGCCACATATATGTGATCATTCGAAAGGATTCCTATCAAAAAAACTACTAGCAAACCCACATTGTTGGCCAAACGGTGCCATAGCATCCCTTGGATTAGCGCTTTATGCGATTATTGTAACAACTATTATGCTCTCCACCTGCATAAAAAGGTTACTAATCCGTCCCGTACAAGTAACCGTTAACACAAGCGATAATGCAAGTGTGCGGTTAGAATTATTTAGTCCACCGACGATCTATAGAGCCGTGAACATTGCCCTCGTATGCATACTGGCATTAACAGATGCGGCAGCAGCCTGCCAAAACGGCCACATACGGCAAGAAATCGATTTGATATGCACCAGCCATAACAGCTGCTCTTATGAGTACAAAAGAGAAATTCTATTCAATGAATTGGATTTGAAACTCTGCGTCAACATTATGCATGCCAATAAATCCGTTGGTCTAATTGAAGTAGAACGATATCCAACGATAATGCGATGTGCGAAAAGATCATTGTACTTTACGAGAGATGCGACGACCAGAGTATTTAGCACTGTACGTTGCTCGCAGGCAGGGTCATGCGTGAATTCCAAATGCTCGCAGACAACTGTCAATACGACAATCAAAGAGCTTGGCAAAGCATACCAGTTTCCAGGCTACTCCGGGTGTCAGCATTCATGCGGCGGACTCGGTTGCGGCTGTTTTCTCCCGCTACCAGCTTGTTCGTTTTATCGGGTCACACAAATCCCAAGAAATGAAGAGATTTATGAAGTAGTATCATGTCTGAAGTGGGAACCGTTGGTGAATTTGAAAGTCCGAGTTTCACTCTACAACCAAGAAAAAGAAACCTTCATTACAAGCGCACCTTACATCAAACACGAATTTCAAGGAATGGAAATCTCGATAATTTCGGTACAATCGCCGCACTTTTCCATGCTAGACAGAAAAATAGCAATATCAAACAAGGAAGCTTTGCTTCTACCAGAAGGATACGAACTAGCAGCTAAATGCGCGACCTACCAATCAGCAGCAAAAGATTTCAAAAATTGCGCCAACCAAATGATATGCTCATGCGAAGACGCAAATGGAGCAATCAAATGTCACTGTCCTCAAATGTCCATTAGAGACGTGAAAAATGACATTACAAATGTATTTCCCATTCATACTCCCTTCACTTCCTTACAAAAACGAGATAAGGAACTCTTCGTAAAAACGATGCAAGGAGAAGTAGTCGTATCGCTAGAATCCCGCTCACTGAAGAACAGTGCAGAATATCTACTTGAACAAGATTGCAAACTAAACGCGAGCAGCGTGTTTGGATGCTACGACTGTCAGGAAGGAGCTCAAGTGAACATCAGTTGCACAACCAATGAAAGAGCATGGATTGTAATCCAGTGCGGGGAACACACATTCTCAGTAGAGTGCGATTCGCAAGGAAAAGAAACTGCACTAGCAATAGAATTCCAAAAAGCAATTGTACAAGAAACATGCGTTGCACAATGCAACAACAAGACTATCAAATTTGACCTTACAGGTACACTCAGTTTTGTACCAGACATTGTGGAACACATGTTGTTTGAAAATCCCGCTCAACTAAGAAATTCCCACAAAGATTGGTTTGCCGACTGGAAAGTTCCAAGTATTTTACCGATCTGGAATACTCTCTGCAAACACTGGCAAGTCACCACAGTTATATTGGGATCAATAACCATCCTCTCAGTGATAACATATTCTTCGGACCAGCACTAATCTTTGCACTCGCTAGATTAGTCTACATCTGCGCGGTAATTATCGCGAAGACAACTGCGTTGTTTATTCAGACTGTATACAAATGTATCAGAGCCGCCACGCACTAAAAGAGTGGGGCCGACCCACTATTATAATCAGCACTGTACACAATACCCATATCTTATAACATAAACATTTTCATATGGTAGGGGTGGAACCAAGAAACTTTGATGAACGATACTCATTCGACTAATTCACGTCAGCCTGAACACTACAACTAATGCCAATGGACGAGATCGACGTCGCCTTGCACATCGAACCTCTAGCGGATGCCCTTAAAGACATTAAGGAGCGGATGGAGAACGGACTGTCAACAATTAATGCCAAGATCGACAATATCATGCAAGCAGTACAAGCTACGAGCGAGAGATGGTCGATTATTCACCACCAGCTAACTATTATGGTGGAAAGGACTACCCCGAGGTCAAATTGCATGTTTTGCACTGTGGAAGACAACAAGGATCAACACCCGACTGGACGTTGCTGCAAATTCCCCGACGCTGTGTCGCGGGCAGTGCAAGCGTCAGCCCTTGGACTCTGCGAAAGGTGCCTTCAACCGAAACACCACGAAGATTGTGGTGTAACGTGCCCCATTTGCGGCAGGCTGCATAACGTCCTGCTATGCCCAAACAGAGGACAGAATGGGCCATTTAAACGGCGAAAGGTTGGTTCAGAACTTATAACCCATCTTATACCTACTAATCAAACCCAAATCCTGGTTACAGTAAAAGCCCCAACGTTCATTCCATGTTCCCGATCACCTCTCAACCCAATAAGCTATGATCTTCTCCAGTCCGTCAAGCCCAACTCCACCGCAACAACGTCCTCCACTCCTCCACTCGTCATCGTCTCAACATCGCATCCCACCTTCGGCCGCTCGACAAGTTTTTTTTTCATTTTTCCCCTTTTTCGTCGTTTTCCTCCTCCATCATATGTTTTTGTAACTCTATCCAACGTTTCGTTAACATTCTGCTGTTCCCTTACTTGAATTTTGCCTTTTTCCTCTTTTTCGCATTGTTCTGATGTTCATTGAACATCCTTCCCTTTTTTTTTGTTTGTTCGCTTGAAAAGTTCCTTTTTTTGTGTTTATTTTCCATGAAATTTTTCCTTTGAAAATGGTTTTTTGTGCGGCGGGGAGTGTCGTGATAAAGACACGACCCATGCTTAACTCTTTGTTGCACTTTGTTTATATTTTGTGCACGTTATTCATTTCATGCACAAAGAGTCTGCCACATGGCTGACTCTTTGTGCTCATCGGCCAGCCTCTTCTGGCCGATTCCCCATCACTCTTCACTGTATCGTGTGCCGGAACAAGCCGGCTGTATTTGTGCTCCAATAAACATTCTTACTCCCCAAGTGTTGGCTGAGTCATCGAAGAGTCCCCCAAAAACCCACTGAACCACCACAGAGCTCATTAGTGTAATCCCACATTATCTGTTCATATATAAGATTGATACAAATGTAATTGATTTGAGTATTGATTGTTTTCTAGCGTTGACCAAGATGGCATTGATATTTACTGGGCCGATGTTTCGGCGTCCACGCCTTCGTCAGAGCCTGGAAAAGTCAAAAACCATTTATGATACGTCCCTCCAAACGCCTCATCTCGCTACAGAATCGATTTTTCAAGATCAGATGAAGCCAAAACGTGCATGTTAGGTCGCAAAGAGAGCTCGCACCTTACCAAAGCTTATGTAAATTTGACCTACGTAGCTGAGGTTTGCGTTGGCGGGTTGCGTTGGCGGGTTGCGTTGGCGGGCCCTCAGGCCTTAAATAGCGTAGTGGCTAGTACACCTCACTATCGGGTGGCC